GTATGAATTTAGATGGTTCGCGCGATGAGTTAACAGAAGGCTTAAGTATTTATCTTTGTTAGGATAAGAAATGAATAAAGTTATAAGATTATAAATTATGAAGTATGTTAAGATTATGCGCTTAATAGATACTATCGCGGTTTGCATTGCTACAAACGTTTACGCAAGATGGCCCGTGTCAAATTAGCTTTGAATCTAGAGCACGATTTTGTCACGGTGAATTACGCAGGTGATGCTAAAGTCAATTATGCTCTGAAACATTATGTCGTGTGAATCAGTAACAAGATGCGCCCTTTACTGTCGCACGCGTATGCTGTCGACGGACATGTCCTTTGTAATGTGACGTGTGCTTTACAAAGGCACAGATCCCTATGCCTCGATGAAGACCGTGTTTTCATCCGGTCGAGATTTTGACAAAATTTCAATAAATATATCTAAGCCGAAAATGTGTTCGATAACAGAAAGAAACGCATGCAATGGCAGGCGCCAAAATACTTAGGCGCCTAATAATTTCTTTTATTTTGTAATTATATATATTATATATATATATATATATATAAATTTAATAAAATTCGCTTACGTCGCTAATCACGTGTCATTATTTTTTAACAGTCTAGTAACTCAAAGCCAAAGTTAAATTTTTCTCTTTAATCAACTTTGATAATTAAATAATGATACCGATTATGTTTCATTCCCCCAAAAAAATTTCAATAAATTTCTTAAAAGCATCGATAATATTGAGATATAAAAAGATGAAGGAAAAGTTATTCGATTTTTGTATTTTGATTGTTTCATCAAAAGTGACGTAACTTCATATTTGATAGTTATAAATTATGTTTATGTTAAAAATAATATGTAGTTCTTCATTGTGTCTGGATAAAAACTAAATGACGCGTTACCGCGTAACTTCGGATAAATCCAATTTTATTTACCATATGCTAACAATGATTTTTATGACTTTTCAGCTATTATTGGACTTATGCAATTATAAATTATAACTCGAAATATGTAATATAAAAAAACACAAAATAAATAATGTTCTGAAAATAGTGATTATAAATACTAATTTATAAATCAGTTTATTTTTTTTTCGTAAAAAAAATTAGAAACTTTTTATCTTTTTAAAAATTGTGGCAAGAGATTATTAGTGAAAATGTATCAATGATAAAAGTATATGAATCATAAGAAATTTGAACTAGTATATTAAAAGTATATAGATATATGAAAATAAATAAATAAAAAAAAAACTGGATTTATTTATTTGAGGTCAATGGTCAATTCCTAATGCGCACAAATACATGTCACATTTTTTGCCAAATTGTTTCAAGATAAAACAAATGGAAATAGAAAAAAATAAAAATCTTTACATGTACCTCTTGTAGAATTAATTAATCGTTCACGCGTAGAATTAACCCACAAATATCTCTGACTCACGTTCGAACGACTTCGCGGAAAAACTTGCAGACAGATCGGTCGACTTCAAGCATCAGAGCATTCGCAGAGCGATGCTGTAGACGAGCCTTTCATCAACGAAATGTAAACGCATGTCGACGCATTCTTCGCGCGTATCAAGCCAACGTTTATGATCACATATAGCGCAACGTAGGGCAAGAGACACCGCGGCCATTTTGCATTCGCTGCGGGATGTTTTATCGCTCGCGGCGGCGACGGCGGTGACCGCGGCGACGACCAGCAAAGTTTGTATAATGTACGATAAAGCCGATCGTGGAGGGCGCAATTCCCACCCCCCCTTCCCCCCCTTGTCATGTCGTATTCATTCAACGGTCGCGTTATCAGCGCGTCCCTCCTTTCGACGGACGAGAGCTAAATTTAGCTC